TCACCCCTGCTCTCCTCCCCCGTCTCCCCCAACCCAGCCCTCCTCCCTCCAAGCCGCTTTCCCCAACCCGGCCCGGCCCAAACTCCCGGTGTCGGAGAAAAAGGAATCCACCGCCGGAGCCGAGATGTCAGACAAAAAAGCCGCTCGGCCGCACAGCTCGGGGCGCCCACCGAGCCATTGGCTTTAACTTTCTCCTTTTAAACACCTATTCTGCGGGCTTCATAAAAAAACAAACCACCCCAAAGGTTCTTTCAAAAAAAAAATTTCTATTCTCGGACTCCAAGCTGGCCCTTTATTGTGGTGTTCATGAGGGTTATTTGAGTATGTATGTTCCTGCCCACCCGGCTCGGATCGCCCGCGATGGCTCAGACGTAGCAACTCCACCATCAGCGGGCTGGATGGAAGCCTCTCGGCTTGGAGCAGAGCTCGCGGCTCGCCCGGCTCGGAGCACACGGCCCCCCTCCCTCCAGCTGAAACCTCGCCGTAAACTCCCCCTGCGCTCTGCGGGAAAATGAGCTCACCCAAATCTCGGTAGGCAGCCGTGGAGGAGGGCTCGACCAATCAGGACGTGCCCCCGCCAAGGCAGCCGCGCATTGGCTGCGAGGAAAATCAATTATCAAATAATCGATCAGCAGGGAGCTTCGATCTGCCGGGAATGTGAACTGCCGGTCCCGATTCCCGCCCAGAGGATGGCCAAAAGGCTGACTGCCCCTGAGAAGCCGAGGCGGGGCGCCCATCGCCGCCATCCCCCTGCCACCCGCCAGCTGGGGATCAAACTCTAACCCCTAAGGGGGTGTAGGTAGGAGGAAGCATTTTGAGACAGATTAGGGGGACACCTTCACGCTGAGAAGGTTTGCAAAAGGTTGGCGCTCTAAGACGCATTGAATCGGACTCTTCAGGCGCAGAGGAAAGGAGATGGTGCGGGTGATGGGAGTGAAGTTGTTGCTGAGTGGGCTTGCGCAGAGCAGGGAACACAGGGCAGCCTCTTAGCCTCTGTCTGGAATCAAGTTCCAGCGAGCACGCTCAGCCTCCCTGGGTGACAGCGATCCGTTTAGTTTAACCTTTCGCACGAGTCCACGCCAGGGTTCCTCCCCCAGTATTGGAGTTTTTCCAAAAGCGGAGCAGCTGAGCCTTCCCAGCCTCCTGTGCACTACCCCCTTCACACTACACTCCCCACTCCACAGCACACAACCCCAGTGTGACTCAGGGCCTCACACATGTTCACCCAAAGCTTGGAGATGCGCTTTGTCTGAAAAGAGTCCTACTGATTCAAAACCAACCCCCCGCCCCAAAAACGCAACTCACGCCTAGAATCCCTCCTCATTTGCTTCCTTAGCTCCGTGACACTCAAATTTGGAGATCTCTTACATTTTTCTTTGTCGCATACATGTGTAGAGTTTTCTGGCACAAATGGCCCAATGCATGACGCAGGTTAAAGCAAGCCCGTTTGTGAAAGCCAGGGCAGGGGTGGGTGAAGGGGGGCAGACCAGGTGAATGAGCAGCGCCTGTACACTCGAGCTTGACTCCCGCTCTCCCCCACCCCCCACCCCCCACCCTAACGTGAACTTGGATGAAGAATTTCAGGCCAAGATAGAGGCCCTCTGTCCCAAGAAGTCGTTATCTCCGTCTAGTTCTTGGGAAGCTGTGCGGACAGGACAGGCAACAGCTACAAACTGCTCTACCCAGAAGGGACCAGGCTGGGTCGGTAGCTTTAAAGCCCTTCCCCGAACCCCAGGCCAATGCCTTCCCACAGCAGCCAGCAGCAGCGTGAACACTCATTTGCCTGGCCCACCAGGCAGCAGAGAAACCCGGGGCTGGGTGCAGAATTGGAGGTGTGTGTGTGTGTGTGTGTGTGTGTGTGTGTGTGTGTGTGTGTGTGTGCTGTCAAACCGAACAGTAACAAGGGCACATCTACGTTTACGATTTTAAAAATGAACTGCAAGGGAATTGTGTAAGTATAGTTTAACTGAGAGGACTTCACTGCAAAAGGGTTCAATGCCCGTGGTCTGCACAAACCCCACCCGTTCTCTGGCAAAGACACGGGTGGCCCACCTGAAGGCGACCTTAGCCTGGCGACCACGTTTGCAGAAGTTTGGAACCTACAACGGTTGTTGTTTTTTTTGGGGGGTTGGCTTTCACTACAGCATTTGTTTTGTATTGCTGCAGTCTGGTTAATTTTATTGTTGGTGTTTTGTCTCCTGAAAGAGATCTGAGAGAGAAAGACAGACAGAGAGAGAGAGAGAGAGAGAGAGAGAGAGAGAGAGAGAGAGAGAGACAAGGTGAGTAATTTAAAAAATGTAACCCCAAAGTCCAAAACAGTGTGTTTTCCGAGGGTTATGTGGACCACCTGATACATGCACTGAATACATGTCCTTACTGATTTTCTTTACGGAAGGAAAGTGCATTTGTGGGCGGATAACAAACTCTTAATACTTTCAAGAAGTGTCTTATGTTCTCCATTCTCCTACCCCGTCCCCTTTCCATTGATAACTGTGACCCGAAGTAGATTTCCTTGCCTTTTATAAGATTCATTCTGAGCATCCACACGGGACGGAGAACACTTTTACAGTGTAATTGCAGTAGTACAGATTGTTTGCCCAAACCTCTTTCTGGATAAGGATTTTACAATTAGCAAACAATTATTACAGTTGGGCTTGCTAAGAGCCAGTGCGTGACGTTGTGTAGAGTTCCAATCTAGTAACCATAAAAAAATAACCCCACCACCAACAAAAACCCCTTCCCAGAGCAGGGCAGCAATTAATCATCTATTAAATGGAAAAGGTGAAGGGACAGGTTTAGGTAGCTTAGAAAACACCAGTGAGCTTTACTCTGTGACAGCACCTATTCCCAGTGTCTTTCAGATACTGGGTTAAGTTTAAAGGCAATAAAACAAACATAATGTGGCTTGGTGAAGGAGTATTTGGGGCCCTTGCCCCTAAGACACGGGCCTTCCATACTCTGCTTATCAGTCATATTCCACAGCGCCTTCCCAAAGAGAGAGAACAGGGCCTTTAGAGAGGGGAGCTGGGCCCAGGTCTTTGTTTCCACTGTCCCATACAGAGGCTTTGAAAACCCACAGAGCGCCTCTCGCCTCTCCCTTCGCCACCCAATAGACTTTTCTGAGCACTCTGTAACATTCTGGTCTACTCTAAGAAGTTGTGGCAGTAGAAAGGCCTGTATCCTGAATTAAGGTTTTGTTCCCAAGGTTCACACGGAGGAGTTCGTCCTCAAACCCTCAGAAAAAAGAGAGGCACCTCTTAAGGTAAAATGCGTGTGTATTTGCCTGCCCAGAATAAACAAGAGCCTGCTAATCAATCGGGTTTGACAGCTGTGTTCACAGGATGATAAGGGTTTATCATCTGCCACCTAACTTTAGGATGCCTGTTAAAAAGGACGTGATTGCTTCTCAGGTCATCCTGCGGTGTGTGTAGTCTCAGGGAGAGTACTTGGGGAACATTTATCCTCAGCATCTCACCGCACATTAGCATTTGCATTTCAAAAAGACAGAAATAAGAAGCGGGAAGGACCGTGTAAAGAAAATAGATTTTCAATCTGGTGGAGATAATCGAGGAATGCCTGTAGATAAGGGCTGTTGGCTGTGAGATGAGAAGTCAAAGCTAATGAATGGCTGTGAGAAAAGTGAAATAAACTATTTAGAAGTCTATTAAGGGGAGAACCCCCCACTTAGGTGATATGGAAGGGGGTGAGCCCAAGGGATCAGGGAGGATGTTAATCAAGTGCCCCCAAAGCCATCGAGGGTTTGGAGATGTGTTTACTGCATTTTGCTTCAGAAAACAAAGAATGTCTAGGTCCAGTTCAGAAGTCAATGAGAGGTCAGTGCAGGCTC